ATGACTAATAAATGGGGACAGTTCTGTCCAGTTATTACCCATTGCACTCTAGGAAACTTCCACAGAATTAGATAAACAGATATTCCTGATTTAAATGTCATCAGGAAAGATATATTTTTACTATTTTCTTTGTAGGAATTTTCAGTGTGAAGAGATAATATTAGGTCACTCAATGGTCCATCCATAATTGTATAACTTTGACAGCCATATTTAAAACTGTGAAATGCTGTTTTTCCTAATCACAAAAAAGAGTAAAATTATTAAGTATGCCTAACTTGTACAAGTAAAACATCTCGAAAAATGTAAAATATATTACTTTCCAGGCATATTTATATAGGAGAGGCAGACAGATGCAAATCATGTGGCTGTGTGGACCATAGAGACAGTAGTATGAGGGTTGCTAGTACAAAACTGCCCAAATTAGTTGGCTCAGCGCAGCTCCCAGTTGGGATGTCATATTGCCAGATCCTTTCTGTGTTGCACTTAAGCTGCTAGATGAAGCCAGCCTGGCCAACAGCACTGCAGCAGCAGTTTCACAAGGAGACCAGCTATTACATTCTCAGCTCAGCATCTCAGGAATAGCAAGTCATTATGGCATATTACAGAGGCTGTGTTCAGGAGTTCCTGACACCTTATTTGTGTAAACTTAATTCTCCTCCTTTCCCCACACTGAAAGATTGCAAAGTTACCTCTGAGTTATTTGATATGTCTATTTTATAAAATGTGTGATTGCATTTGCAGAGATAACTCCAGAAATTTGACAGCACCCATTATTATTTTCCTATTATGTATTCAAGCATGGGATGCTCTGTATATTACTTGAAAATCAGAATGAACAATAGGATAAGCAAATGCTTTCCAGGAGATAAAGCAACTCCTGCATTTGGATGAAAGGATAAGGACACCAGACTCTGACTTAAACAGGCTCTGAGGACACCTGGGGCCAAATCCATGGTACCTGATAGTCCTACACAACCTGTCATGTTGGTCTCCTCGGGTCTTTGCTGGAGATGGTAGGCCCTTTGTAAAGAGATTCCATGGATAAGCAGCACATGCTCCTAGATTTGTCCTAACTCAATCTAGGCTGTGATGTCCTGTTTAATATCTGAGCTACATGGGCTTAAACATGTAGGTACAGGGAATGCTACAGTGTAGGGAGAGGATATTTTCAGGCAGAGAATCAAACAGTCCTTCCTGAAACAAACTGGGAATTTACACTAAACGTTTAAAATAATCTGTTGTGCTTTTGATATGCACATAGTTCCTCCTGAGAGCTCTAACACTGCAGCGTCATTGCTGTGGTGAGGCTGAGCTCATGACCAGGGCTCATGGGCCCAGAGTGAGGGGGTGTCAACGTGTGGACCAGTGGCTAGGATTCCCACTTGGCAAAGGAGAGCATTGGGGCTCCTAGCGACTGTGGGTGTAAACAACAAAACCTTTGTGTCCTGCTGCTCAGGGGAGGATTCAGCTCTGTGCAGCAGAAAACAAAATAAGAAAATTAACTACCTGATGGAAGTCAGCCCACTCTGCTGGGAGGCAGGAGATGATGGTGGAAACACAGTGCCACCAAGAAAGTAATAGCGACTGTGAATTTTCTCCTTTTGAGCACTCTAACCTTTACTCTACTGCATAAAAGTAGGGCATCCCATTTCTCAGCAGACCTCTTAAAAGAGAGATGATCCCTACTCAATCCTCTCCTACCATTGGGGAAGCTTCTGGGGTGGTGAGTACTTGGCAAGAGGAGCTGCTTCCTCCAGCCCTGACAAAGCCTTCCAACTCTGTGGACAACTGGGGCAAACCTATTCTGAGATTTCAGCTTCTCCCCAGACAGGTTTCTGGTTTGTATCTTGTCAGGCTTATAGAGTAAAGTGGAAAAAGGCCATAGGTGTTCAGATGACCTCTGTTCCTTCTAGACTACTGCATTTGGCAGGGGGCAGTTGACACTCACTTAGGGCTCTTTTACACGTGGATTAAACACATGTGGAGGAGATTGTAAAGGGATGTAATGAACACTCCTTTGGCCTGGAAGGTTGAAGCTGTAATTAATACCAATTTGCACATCTGTTCTGAATTAGGTGCTGAAACAGACAACAGAACTCCTTGTGGTTTAAGACAGTAACCTACCTGGATGCTTCTTGGAAAGGCATCTGGGCTTTCAGGGGGACCATTTGTCATAACACAGCAGCAAGACCTGAATGTTCGTGGGGATGAGGCAGTGCCTTTGCCATGGAAGCACCAGCTCATCTTTGATGGTGAGTCATGCATGGGTACACATAGTCCTGCCCCAAAAGCTGCAACTCTGCATGCTGAGAACCACCCTAGGGAGCCCACATGGCCCCAAAACAGACTTTGTTAGCAGAGCCTTGGTGAGCAGCTGGCCCTTCTACAGTAAGGACCACCAGAAGAAAATGTGCGTTCCTCCAAGTGAAGGAAATGCTGCATTCTTTAGCCCCACCCCCCAAAAAAAAAAAAATAGGACTGAACTGCCAAAACACTCTGTAATCTGAAACAGTGCAGGATTTAATTGTTAAGCAGAGGAATAGACAGAAACTCCAATGCTTCCGAAAGTGAAGCACTCACAGGTCAGCCTGTAACAAGACTTTCTGGCACTAAGGCACATTATTTTACTTTTGTCACGTTGCCACCACAGTATAATACAGACAGTACCTTAGGTGGGTACAGGTTGTCCTTTTGAAGCATGGGAGGAAAAGAAAAAAGCAGCGCATGCTCCCATAGTCTGAGCAGCATGTGAGGTATCCTGCAAAGCTGTCATTGGATTAAACTGTTGAAAAGTCATTAACACAGGTACTGGGTGAGTGTCACTCCCCGGTCTCCATATATTAGGTTAGATCATGTTTTCCTCTGACTGCTTTGATAAGATACATTACACCTGCATTATCTGAGAAGAAATAGCTTGTTTGCCCTGTCTGCACCCTGGCACACAAGCTCTGAGATCAATCTGTGTGGTGGCCGCTCATCTAGCTGCTTTTACAGCTATCTAGAGGCTACAGTGTGTTTGAAAAACCCAATAAAAGGGCAAAACCCTATTTGTGGCTACATTTCGAACATAGAACTCTGTTTTTCAAATTCATACAGCCTGTTCCAAACTGAAACTTATATTGCTTTAGCTGCTTAACCAGACCCTTGCGAAGAGGAAGGAGACGCTATTTGGCTTGCTGGAGGGGAGAAGGGCACAGCCACAACATGGGCAGAGCTGGTGGAGGACAGCCAACCGAGTCAACAGGTACCAGCCATACCTTCCACACGTGAGCTTTTCCAGAGCACTGAAACTGCTGGCAGGGAGCCCCGTCTTCCCTGCACTCTAGTCATCAGAGCAGGTGTTCTCTCCTTCCTTTCCTGCAGCTGCACCAGCTGTCACTCATCTCCAGAGTCAAAATATTTCCATGCCTATCAACAGCTCGTAATTGATGTGAAATCAGTGAATCTCCTTGCAAAGTTCATGCTATATATGCGAGAGCCAGGCATCTGGCAGAGGAGTGCAAATCTAATGAGAAGCTCTCATCTAACAGAACCAAGTTTCCTTTAGCAGTGGGTGAGCATGCATGACTATCCATGGTTTCCTAATTATTGTAATTTACTCAATCTCTCCGATTAACAAGCATTTTTCTGCCTGGGGACTTTCTAATAATGAAATTAATTGTCACTTTTACCATTATAAAATACTTCTCCCATGACATTGCTCAGATTTACAGCCCTAACTGTGAAAAGAAGAAAGGAGATAAAGAGAAATTTATTAAAAGTATTTTGCTTGTCACTTCTGATATTTTTTTCAAAAGCATTTTAGGAGTCTAACACGGAGAAGGGGAAAAAAAAAAGGAAAAAAAAAGAATTTTCTACCCTGAAATCCTAAATAGGAAAGTACTATCTTAACAATAAAAAAATGTATCAGCAGCATGTTAAAAGATGCCCTCATTAATTAAGAATAGAACCAGAGATCATCTCTTTCTTTATGAGGGGTGGAAACCTGCAGTAATTCCACTGATTCCACCAGCATTGTGTCTGAGCTCTACCAATCTCACAGCTGTAAAAATTGCTTTTGAATATATCCCCTTTTACCTCACATGTTGTGAAATGATGTAAGTGCCTGCATCTTTCCAGTTGAAATTGATCTCTTTGGTCCTGAGCTCCAGAAGGAACAACAGGGTACTCCTTGTCAGACTTTTTAATAACTTGAACTTAACTTGTACAACATGCCACAACAGTAAAGGGAGACATGGCAATCAGCATGAAATTAAGCAACAGCAATGGGCATAGAAATCTTAAGGAAAGACAAATTTCAGTACCTCTTTAATCTTTTTCCTACATTCACATATTGCCAGGGTGATGGTTGGTTTTGGAGACGAATGAACATACTTCCCATGCCACTCGGCAGCATTCACTACTGAATGACTCATCTGGTGCATTCTTAACAACAACCTTTAAGAGACTACATCCCCTTCTCAAGTTAAAAACAAACAAACCAACTAATTAGAAGCTGTCCCTCATGGTAAAAACAAATAAACAAACAAATAAAAAACCACAAAAACCCAAACCAAACAAAAACCCAAGCCCAAACAAACAATCAAAACCAACAAAAAACCCCCCTCTCACTTGTGTGCAACGTTTGTTACAGCTGGAAAATTGAAAAGAAATCCCTTATGTCATGACGATGCCTATAAGAAATTACATAAAAATGTGTTAAAATCATACAAGCTTTTGATTAAAGATGCATGTATAATTACAATACCTCTACAAAAAAACAGTACTGTCCTCTCTTGGGAGGGGATACAATTGGCTAAGACACATTCTCCAATTCCTACAAGTACTTTGCTTTTCAGTAAATGCCTCACACATGTTGTTGGCTGTCTTTGCAGGGTAAAAAAACACCGATATCTGGGCAAAAAAAGTTCAGTAATCCTAGTTGCCTCCCCACACAATTGCTGAAAATGCACCAAAGCTGCAAGCATGTGAGAAAAGTAATGCACGCCTTAAAAGAATACCTTAAAGGAATAGTAAAAGGATCCCCACTCCTCTTCTCTCACCACTTCAGTGAAAGTCACCGTTTCAGTACAGGTGACAAGGGTAAGATCCAGCCAGCCGGTGCCTCCCTGGGAGCTGCTGCTGGCTTCTGTGGAGCTGACCTCCATCACTGGGTTTTGTGCGAGTTGTCTAGGTGCTTGTTGTAGTAAGAGTTAATGCAGCCAGGCTTCTCCCGTAAAAGCGCAGCACAAAACCAGCTTCTCACTGCTCCACTACTGGCTACCAGAGGTGTCAGGCTTCAGTGCAGCTGAGTGATAGAAAAAAAAAACAACAAAGCCAAGCTGGCATCGTTTTGAGCTTTCCTTTGGTACAACTCTGACGACAGCTATCCACATGCTCTTTCCAGTAGCAGCAGCCAGTACAAAAGCCAGCACACATGGTCCCAGCCATGTGCTTTGTCGACTCTGGATTGCCTTGCACACCAAGTTGTTAGCTCTGGAGTCAGGCACACCTGTAAAAGCATGGACCTGCTCCCTGCATTAAGCCCAGGAGCCTGGGTATTCCACTCAGCAGATTTGCTTACTTACCCTGGCTCAGCTCACTATGATTTTGATTACCTGCAGTATTACAATATATCCATACACAAGCACCAACACTCTCTCCTGTATTAGCAAAACCCTATTAAGTTTGTAGGCTTAAGCTATCACAACTTCCATGTCAATGTCTCCCTGACTTCATAAATAGGCCTCTCACTCACCTTTGCAAAGAGCTTGAGTGTGCTACACACCCAGGAAAGGCAGGGCTTTCTTCACCATATGGAGAGCCTGTCTGGGAAGGCATGGCTCCTACAGACTGCTAGTGTCACTTAGAGGCTCAAGGGCTCTTCAGAACAAGGTAATCAATTATCTTTCTACTTGTGGATTTTCTGGGCTCTGATCTCACCTACCCTCTGTTTATTCAGATGTTTTTACCTATCTCTAGTGACGTTACCTCAGGTTTACACCAAGATGGCAGATGAGAGTCACTTGTAAATCCAGAACTTGTTCAGCTTTGTGAAGATTCTCTGCCTCAATGGCAATGCAACCCTAAGCAGAACGTGATACATTTCACAGCCATACCCCACCAACTCAATTTCCTCTTACCTGCTCTTGGTAAAACCCAGTCCTGTGCTTATGTAAGCAAAGATGGCCACAGGAGAGATCAGGAATCTTTAAAATCCTCTCTCTTGCCAGCACAGCACACCCTCTTTCCAGCTGCTGGAGCAGGGGTCTCCACATAGCATCCATGCTCCTGATCCAGGTGGGACTGTGCCCCATCTACATAAGCAACAAGAGACGGGTCACTAAAAAAGGGCCCTCCAGCTCCCAGGGCCAGTAACAGCAGGGCATGGGGGCACAAGCAGTGAAATTCCAAGGTCTAAGTTTTGAATCTGAACCCTCCCAAGTTGGGACATGTCTAGACCCGGAGCTTTGGACCAGGCTGTTCTATGGACTGGAGAAACCTCTGAGTGTCTGAGCAGTATTCAGACCTCTCCAGAAGGTGCTGGAGTCATTCAGAGGAGGGAATCAGTCTAGACCAATACAGATGATCAGTACCAGTCAGGATGAGAAGGGATCCATATGCACCAGTGCTTAATATTTAACAACAGTCGATGTTTCATAGGTTGGAATGTGATCAGATAAAAAAAATGTTGTAGAACCACCATGTTTTGCTTAAAACCACTGGGAAAGTGTTCATTTATATATTATAGGAAAGAGAGGGGAACATTTTTTTGAAGTTTGTTCTGACTGATTGTACAGGTTGATTTTGAAACTCTGATAAGAATTATTTAGGTAGTGTCCAAACTTCTTGAAAACACAGTAACCTTTTTTTTGACTCTTCTTCCTTCTTCTTACCTTGCTTTCTTATACTTACAGATTTCTCTTTGCTGCAGTTAAAATTTATTACACTGAACTTTTGGGTTTGGTTGTTTTTTGTGCTCCCATTCCTTGAGCTTTTAAGCTCAATCATATTATCAGCACTAAGAGGCTTTTCAGTAACTACATCATATGCCAGATCATGTGCAGCTCTCAGGACTAACCAAGAGTGACTTCTCTTGTGGCTTTGCCAGCTACTTGATCTAAGTAGTGCTTATGGTGCTGCAAAAGGCTATACCGGGCCCTGCTCCAGTGCTCTCCAGTCTACACAGGGCTAATTCAGGTTTTCCATCACTATTAGCTTTTCTGCCCTTGAGTATTTCTCAGTCACTGTCACTGCCATGGTTTGTTGACATCTGGTTTTGCTGAAATGCTGTTTAGCCACAGATTTTGAAGCCATGGGCTGTCTGTTGTACCACATCCAGAATTAAGGTAATTCTCCAGAACACAACACTTTGTTTTAAAACCACTACAAAGTCATGCCATCTCTCTGAAATTTGGTGTTGATTGTTAGTTCCCCACCCTACTCCCCATGCTGAGAATAAACAAACTCTGAAATGAACGGTGAAATAAAATACTTCTGTATTTCAAAAACTTAAAAAAGGCAAGATCAAATCCTAGCAATTCCTCTATGGTGAAGGAATAGCTGATTGATTCCTGTAACTGACTTTGTTGTTTTCCTCAGTCGGGACCTTGAAAAGGTTTTGAGAACTTTCAGTGATTTAAGAGACTTTTTTACAGAGAGAGAAATCGAGTCTTCTCTGTGCTTTAATATAAAATGCTCTCAAATTATTATTGTAAGACAATTTTTTATCTAATATATGATAAAATATTCTTCTTCTTTCTTAACATTTCGAATGGCTTTTTTTTTTTAAGTCATACTGTTGTACTGCACCACAGCATGCTTCATAAGTATCAAAGAATGGATTATTTGGAAGAAGAATAGAAAGAACTTGCTTTAGAGTCCTCTTCATTTGTCTTTCCCTTTATCTTGGTCTCAGAAGCTATTCAAATTTAATTTTCTTAAATAAAGCTTTGAAACAAAGGACCAGAAAACCTAAGAGCATAAACGGTTCCAGTGAAAGGTGAAGTTGCCACGGCTGCTGTGTGCAGTAAAACCAATGTGGAGACACATGAAGGGAAACCTGCAATGCCTATATTGTATCTCCCCATAGTGGCATGATGTTCCTGACTGGCAAGAAGAAGAAACCATGTACAACTGCAGAAAGTAAAATCAGGAGACTGATAGACTAGCTCTGTTAGTTAGCCTGGAGCTAATAACGCCCCTGTGTGGGCCATTCACTTAAGAGTTGGACTTAATGATCCTTCTGAGTCTCTTCCAACTCAGAAGATTCTGTGATTCTGTGACATGATGCAATAGGTGAAGGTGGGTAACTCTGGAAAGGAGAAAAGAAAAAAAGGAGAAGCAATGAATCAAAGTTTTTAAAGGTCAGACAAAAATTAGTGATTTTGATTATTCGAACCAGAAAGTCCTCGTGCAGGGAGTCTGGTCTTTCCTGCACAACAGCTGTGAAACACAATAGGTGGAGATGGGTCATTTAGTACAGCACAGTGTGAACACTCTATGGCAGGCAGAGGAGCCATTGCAGCAATGGTGGATGTTACATTCCAAAATTCACCAGTAGTAGGAGGAAGAATGATGCAGGAATGTATGGTTCCTCCTATGCTATCCATTTCCACATTTTGTCTTCACTGACAGAAATTATTGTGTGGCAGTATTTGTTGAGCATGAAGTTGATAACTTGCCAAAAATAAGCCAATCTAAATGTTCTGATGTGTCTAATTGTTTAAAAGATTACACACCTCTGAAATGGGTAGAAAAAAGTTCTGCTCAAGTATATATTATTTTTTACTGAGACTTTATAGTACATTTCTCTGCTGCATTTAGGCAACATTGGGAGTAATTTGAAAAAAATATTCAATTTTCTGCTCTTTGGAGCTTCGTGCACCCTGGAGTAGTTGGACATAATCATATTAAATGCAAAGAACAAATAATGCTATCAGACTGCAGGAAGAAAGAGAATAAGATATCTTTTGCTTCTAAAAGAGTGGCAAGTTAATTGCTTTTCAGTAAAAAAACATGCTTATCCAAATCCTCATATGCCAGCTTTGGAAGAGGAAGGTTAGTCTGCTCTTACCAATGCACAACTCTTCTCCCCAAAAGCTGAACATATGGGATAATGCAAATGGGCTCAGCTGGTGACTCAGACAGTGTAGGATGACTGTAGAGCTGTGTTCCCTCATTCCCACTGCACAGGAGAGAAGAAATGACACATTAATGACACAAGTCTTGTCTCATGTAAGTTCATTTTCCTTTAATTTACAAGATGCCTAGCAGGTACATTGGTTTCCTATGGCATTGTGCCTCCAGAGGGGTGCAGATCTGTGTAGCATGGGTAGGCAATACCCAAACAGGCTGGATTGTTGCCCTCAAAGCAAAATCAAACCTGCATGTGGTCCCAGATCCTGGGCTGTGGCTGAGAAGGGAAGCCCTTGTTTCTGGACTCCTGGAGGTCATGCTGTGTGTGAAGAAAAGGGCTCCATATATGCCTCACTTAGGATGTAACTATTTCCCCAACGCATTTGCATTCACATTTATACAATTTTTTTAGCCCCTCCAGGTGAAGATGGCATCAAGTTTCTAAATCTTCAAAGACTTGAAGTGATGATCTTTTATAAGCTAAATATGCAGTCACTAGATTTTCTTGACAGAAACCCCTAGCACCCATTCTTCACCTTCAAAAATGAAGTGGCTGTAACTTAGGATTTGAAGACTCAGGAGTCAAAGCACGATTTCAGAAGCTGGTTTCAAATTCAATCCCAGGTATTTTATTTCAGGATCTATATCCCAAGGGCAGGACCAAGACGTGCTGCCTGTAAGTCTGACAGCAGCATGCCAACACTGCCAATCTTAGCCATTCCCAGGCTTCTCTTGGTGAGTGTGTGAATTTCAGCTACACTCTGCAGAGACCCTGAGGTTGTGACTCTGTCCTATCTGTGCTGCATGGGTCACCTTGGGCCACGGGGGCCAAGAGCCCACTGCATCCACTGCATCCTCGAATTTCTGGGTTCTAGAGTTAGAGAGACTAGCAGTTAGAGCTGAAGAGCCTTTCTCTTTTACGGAGAAAATTGCATTTGATTTTCATCCAGAATCTGAACAAACATAATTTTGAAATATTAGTAGTATCACAGAATGAGATAACTGCTCTCTGCTGGGCTCCAGCCTGATCTCTGACCTGTCAAATATATATCTAGCTTTGAATGAGATCCCCAAACTGACAGCAAG